ACACACACACACACGCAGACAACAGCTTGACGATATACGTTTTTTGCATTGCATGAAAGTAAACTTGGTCGACAGCGCACAACTACCGCTGCGAGGATGCGTTTTTCGCACATTCCCCTTGCAAGTTTTTGTCGCTAATGGCACTGTTTTTTCCGCCAGATGTTTCTGACTATAAGAACTGTGAGTGTCCGCCACGACTGTTAGAAATTATTACGATGACTCCTAAGATATGCCCAAAAAATTCAGCAATGCTTCGGTTGCAGAGTTATGTCAAAATTCACATGCTCATGCGTGAGCGGCAACATCAGTGCTGTTTACGTGTGCGTTTACTCAAACACGGTCCTGGGCAATACTCAGAAAATTTCAGCACTTCAGCTGCTCTGGTTGCGAGATTGTGCCATATTTCACTTGTTTGTATATGAGGGGCAAGTCAGTGCTGTCTTCGCCTCTGTTTGCTCAATCAGGCACAGAAAATTTCAGCGCTCGAGCTGTTTTGGTTGCGAAGTTACGTCAAATTTCACGTGCTTTTGCGTGAGACGTACTTGAGACATTAAAAGGACGTGGAAGTCGTTTATAATTTCATCTGGTCAAAGGCCACCACCAGTTATGCTCAGAAAGTTCCACTTCTCTAGCTGCTTCAATTCTGAAGTTACAAAAGCGCCTGCGTGAAATTTTCACGTGTCCGTACGTGAGATGTAAAGGGGATTGAAAGCTCAATTTATTTTCATGAGTATAAACAGTAAGCTACAAGTAATGCTGCAAAACTGCAGCTCCTTGCAACTTCTTGGTCAGCCTAAATCTGGAGTTGACACGACGCCAGTTCAAACTTTGTCGTGTGTGTACTTGAGACTAAAGGGTGAGTGAAAATTGAATTTAAAATCTTTGGATTAGACACGGCCTGTTTTTATGCGTTTTTGAGCCATAGCGCTGCTACAGCCAGCAAAAACGTATATTGTCGAGAGGCTGTGTTTTTGTGTATGTGTGTGTGTGTGTGTGTGTGTGTGTGTGTGTGTGTGTGCGTGCGTGTGTGCAGGTGCTTGTGTTTGAAAAGCGAGTGCATTTCGTCACCTGCCTTCATCTCAGTAACCAGGAAAGCTGGGAGGCTGAAACTTTGGAAATATGTTCTTACCCCGTGTGTCATCCTCCCATTTTAAGACCTTTCCCCACACGCGCCTAGACCCGGCGTCCGACCCCCAAAGAAATATGGTTGGCGGGGAAAGATTTCGTGAACCAGACAAATCAGAAAGTTGAAACTTTGCAGGGATATTCTCTATGCACGTGCAAGCTAAAATTTTTAAACTGAGCTGTCGAGCCCCCCAACCACAGCCTCAAACAGCTCCTCAACCCAAAAATTGTTAGCAACTCGGACCTGAACCGCAATCGTATATGTAAATGCACATGGATTTTCTGACAAACGACCGTTCGAGCAATACTTCCACTTTTCAATGAACTGGAAATTTGTGTTTATCATTTTTTTCACAGAGCGAGCATTTACCGAAAAAAACGACCGGACTTCATGCAAAAAACCGGTATTCATGCACCTGGATGTCCGTGCGGCTCTATAATGCACCACCTTCATCCCAACCGACGCCCTTCCTCCTGCATGCCGGAAAGGACCAAAGCACGACCAGTATGACCCAAACGTTAGTCTACAGCGTGGGGATCATTTTTGCTAATAGCGATTCGCGAGTTTAGTGCTAAAACGCAGTATCGCACCGGAGAGCCAGCCTGGAGTTTTTTTTACATTTGTTACACAACCACCGAAACCTCTATTCCTCATTTATCCAATAAATTAAACATGAATAAGTTTTACAACACGCCTTTTACGCATTTATAATGATGGTAACAAATATTACAACGTGAGGCGACATAAACCGAGATTTCATCTTGAGGTAAGGAGACAAAAACCGACAACTTCACCGGGATTTCATCTCCATCTTCAGTGAACTTTTGGAGATTTCAGCTGGCTCTAATAAAGAGCATGGCATAACAGTAAGCTGAGTCCCTTCTCAAACCCTATTTAGCGATTCAAGTCCACCAGTTAATACTCAGTCTTCCAGACCCTTATAGAAAATTGGTACCGGCAAACGTCAGGCGATGCAAGCCATGCAAGTCACTTTTAAGCAACTCTCAGAAGTAATTAAAGGGCAATCAGGACAAAACAAGGTACAACTCTAGCTGCTGCGAAATGTCCTAGTCTCCCACTCTCCCACGAATAGTAGTACACCAAACAGTCCTGACTTCCGACAACCAGACTTTACTTTATATACATTCATTCATCAATTTCTTGACTAGTTCACCGTAATATGTGCCAAATATCTGCCTGTTGTGATTAGTGATTCGCAAAAATCGACCGGTGAGTTCAGAAAGTTCTTCACGAATCACGGATAGACCGGGTGGAAATTGCTGCCGACTTGATGGCCCGGGACTTGAGATCATGGAAAATATGAAATTATACACTCTGTCACCTGCAAAGTTGTTTACATTCAGAAACTTCCAGTAGTATCGAAAGTTAAATCTGCACGAAAGAAGTCAGTTTTTGTTCTCAAAAATGGGCAAATCGGAGAGTCACAGCTCAGTAGATTAAGAGATTAAGATGTGTTCTTACTTAGCAATATGATTTTACGAGAAACATAATCTAATCAAACAGATGTTGTGTACGACGAAGGATCCACAGAAAAACAAGCTCACCTCAATCCAGCGC